CTGGTTTTGTCACAGGACACACTGTTTTAACCATGACTTATAGTATAGTTTGAAGTTTAGAAGTGTGAGGCCTCCATTTCTCCCCCTTTTTGGTCAGAAGAGCTTTGACTACTTGAGTTTTTCTTGTTTTTATTAATGTGAATTTCAGTAATCTTACATCTCTTTGAAGAATGTCAGGGATTGTTTGTGATTGCTTTGAATCTGTAAATTGCTTTGCATAGGATGGACATTTTGACGGTGTTGACGCTTCCTATTCATGAGCAGGGATTATCTTTCTGTCTCTGTCATCTATTTCTTTTAACAATAACTTATAATTTTCCTTGTGTAGGCCCTTTACCTCCTTTGTCAGGGTTATTCCCAGGTACTTAATTTCTTTTTGGTGAAATTGTTAAGGGGATGGGCTTCTTAATTTCTTTTTGTTCATTATTTGTCTACTGGAAGGCAAACGATTTGTGTGTGTGTGTGTTTTGTATCCTGACACTTTGCTAAACTGGTTTATTATTTTAGTTTTTTCGTGGAGTTTTTGGGGTTCTCCATGTATTTTATCATATTTGCAAGTAATGCTTGTTTTACTACTTTTTTCAAAATTTGGATTCCTTTTATAGCTTTCTCTTGCCTAATTGCTCTAGCTAGAACTTTTGATACTGTATTGAATAGTAGTAGGAAGAATGGATTGCATTTCCTAGTACAGTGGAAAGGTTTTTGATTTTACAGCATTGAGAATAGTACTCACTGTTTGTCATATATGACTTTAATTATATTAAGATACATCCCATGTAGCCTTAAAATTTCAGTGTAAGTTGATGCTAAATCTTATCAAATGCTTTGTCAGTACCTGTTAATATGATCATGTGGTTGTTCTTTTCATTGTAAACTACATTGATTTTCAGATGTTGAACCATCTTCGTGTTTCTTGTAGAAATCTCACTTGGTCACGGTGTATAGTCTTTTTAATCATTGTTGGACTCAGGTTGCCAGGATTTTATTGAGGATTTCTGCATCTATGTTCATTAGGAAGATTGTTTTATATTTTTCTGTGTTGTTTGAGTCTTTATTAGGATGATGTTGGCTTCATAAAATAATTTTGAACAAATTCCTTCTTCGACTTTTTTTTTTTTTGGAAAGTGTCTGAGCAGGATGGACATCAGTTCACCTTTGAAAGTTTAGTAGAACTCATTTGTGAAGTCATTTGGTGTTGGACTTCTGTTTTTTAGAAGAGCTTTTACCACTGTTTCATTATGCTTGCTTATAGTTGGTTTGTTCAGGTTTTCTGTTTCTTCCCTAGTAAGTCTTGGATGTTTGTGTGATTACAGGAATCTGTCTGTCTCATCTAGGTTGTTGGATTTGTTTGCATATAAATGATCTTAGTAATTTTTACCTCTGTTTCTGCAGTATCTATTACAGCATCTCTTTAATATTTTATCTTATTTGAGTCTTTCCTCTTTTTCTTAGTGAGCCTACCTATTTGTCTATTTTTTTAGTTTTTTCCTCCAAAGAGCCAGCTTTTGGTTTCATTGATATTTTGGGCTGCCTTTTAAAATTTCTGTTTCATTTATTTCTGTTCTAATTTTTATTTCATTTCTTCTAATAGCTTTGGGGTTTATTTTGTTTGTTTGTTTTGTTCTTTTTCTACTTCCTTGAGATGAGAGACAAAGTTGTTTGCACTCTTGTTTCTTACTGTGGGTATATGTTGCATAGTAGAACTGCTTTTGCTGTGTTCTATTATATGCTATGAAATGCACCTCATTATCATGTCTCAAGGTGTTTCTCTTTAATCTCTTCTTTGATTTTCTCACTTACCTAGTAGTCATTCAGTAGTATATTGTCCAGTGTCCATGTATTGGTATATTTCCTTGTTTTCTGTTTATAGTTGATTTCTAGTTCAATACCTTTATAGTAAAAAATGATTCTTGATATGATTTTCAATCCTCATGAGTTTGTTGATTCTTGCCTTGTGACCCAATAGTGGTTAATCCTGAAGAATGACCCATGCATGCTTGAGAAAAATGTGTATTTAGCTTTTTCAGGGAGCAGTGCCCTATAAATATCTATTAAACCTAGTCTAGTTTTCTGTTTAGGGCAATTACATCCTTATACATTTTTTTGTCTTGTTGATCTGTCCATTGGTGAGAATGCGGTGTTGAAGCCTCCAACCACATGTGTATTTTCTCAAATGTCTGCTTTCAGGTTTGATATTTGTCTGATATATTTTGGTGCTCCTTTGTTAGATGAGGTTTACTTGTTTATTTTCTTCTTTTTGAGTGTTCACGTCTTCCCATTGTGATGTTTCTTTAATCATTTTATAGTATCTGTCCCTGTCTCCTTTTACCTTTTTAAGCAGAAAGTCAATTTTATCTGAACTATGTTCCATCACTTTACCTTCAGTCTGTTTATTCATGGTACTTAGCTTGGTTTCCTGAAGGCAGGAGGTGTTTGGGTTATGTTTCCTAATCTAACTAGACACTGTGTCTTTTCATTGGTGAGTTCAGTCCATTGACATTTCGTGATTATTGATATGTAAAAGTCTGTTCCTCTCATTTTGTTCATAGTTTTATGGTTCAATTTAATTCCTTATTCAGTTCATGCCTATCTTTGGTTTAAATCCTACAGCTTCTTTTAGAATTTCTTTGTCTGATAAGATCCTTATTTCTTTCTCAACTGGAAGGAGAACTTTACAGTGTAAAGTGTTCATGGCTGGCCTTTTTTGTCTTGAAGTATTGAATATGTCACACTTGCCTCTTCTTGGTTGTAGTGTTTCCTTTTTTTGTCTTTTTAAATGAAGTACTTCTAAATTTTTGGATATCATGTGATTTTTTCCCCTCATGTGTGGTCACCATAGTTCTCTGATTATTCTGGATACCCCTTGATCACCAACATTGTCCCTTGCTCCATTCCCCTTGTGCCTCATATCTGTGGTCTGCTTTTAGGGTTTGTCTTAGCCTGACTCTTGTTTGGTTTTTCTATATCCCATACACACACACACACACACGTATATATGTACATATACTATGTATATATGTGAAACCATACACGTTTATGTGAAACCGTACAATACATAGCTCTTTTCATATATCTACATGAACCTGTACAATATTTAGCTCTTTCATTCTGACATATGTGGCTTAGCATAATTTTTTCCAGCTATACCCATGTTGTCACATGTGCATGAGTGTGCCTTTTTGATTCCTGAGTAATATTTCATTGTGTATATATTATATCTTCCATGCTTTTGTGGTTTGTTTATGGGGTTTTGTCTTATTTCTGTGGTGTATTGTTCCCCTGAAGACTTGCTTAGCCACTAGCATTTTTCTTTCTCCATTGTTTGCTTTGTGTTTTCTGTACTGTGGTTGAAATTTTGGTTGTGTATTAGTCCTTCTCTTCCACTGTTCTGGGCAGTGGAATAAATACCCAACGATAGGTATAGTTGCTGAGGCCTTGTGAGACCAAGGGTGGTGCTACTGCTTTCCCTGAAGCACTTCTGGGACTGATTTCAGTGGCCAGGAGGGCTGAGAGCATAGTATTGAGGGATCACATTCTGGACCTTACTCCACTTGGGAACAGTGGGTTCAGGCCTGTTTGTGGTGAGTGGGAGAGCAGGGAGTAAGCTGGACAAGGCTACTGGTCCATGGGATCTTATCCTCTCTTTAATATCTCTGTGAGGGAGAGGAGGAGGGAGCTTTAGAGCCCCTGAGCTAACTGAGGAATTCCTGATTTCCTGGGCCTGTGGCCACAGAGTTCCCACTGCCCCAGTTCAGATTAGCACCCACTCTAGTGCCAGCAAAGTTCCTCCAGGGAATCTTACAATGTTCAGGGGTGCCCTGTTGTGGCTGGTTTGATTCACCCCCAGGTCGTTCAGTTCTGCTGGCTGAGATAGCTACTCTCCCCATCTTGCTCCTTTGGCTTCCTCCTGCTCCTTCTCTGCATTAGTGGCCACCAACCTTAATTCTAGGTTTCCATGGGAAGACTGAGGCTCTATTGGCAAGACACAGGAGCTTGATCTTTCTATGTGCCAAGTATTTTTTTATACTATTGTATTATTGGTGGAATCCAAAGAGTAAGTTTAGTGAATTAATTTTGACATAACAAATGAATATAATAAAACTACCTGAGATAAGTGTTCATGGCTATTAATGAAGTTCTTGATTTTTATTAAAAATGGCATGATAAAATTGCCATGATACAATGTTAAATGAGAGGAAAATATGCTAAGATTGTGACTATAATAAAATTGTACATAGAAAAGGGATTAGCAGAAATCAGACAAATTATTCATGTGGTTATCTTTTTGTGGAGGGAATACAGTAATTCATTTTGTTTTCCATCCAAATTTATATATTCTACAGGGTTTCTAAAGTAAATTTGTAGTTCTTAAATAGTTGAAAACAATGTTTTTTAGAACTTAGCTACAAAATTACATATTTATATAACTGTACTGTTACATTTTTACAACCCTGATGTTTCTACTTAATTGACTCATACCTTACTAAAATAGTAAATTTGTAGCTTATTTAATGATTTTACTAAATGATAAACAAGTTAGTCATTCCTGAGTTTTCACTATTATGGAAAATACTGCAGATATTTTCTGATGTAGTTTTTTTTCTTTGAATAACTTCTCAAAAAAATGCACAAACTGCATGTATTTATCTACCTCAAAGCTGTGTAAGTTGCTTGGCTACTTACTGACATTTTGAATCAAGAATGGTCAAGACCATTTATAATGTCATCATATTGTTTGATGTGTGGTGTCTTTTGGCTAAGATCAAGTGTAGTATAATGCCATCATAAGAAATAATGATACTGGTTTCAGTCAGCATTGCCAGTGTTAGATGTTGGAAATGATTATAGCTTTTTAAAATGCTATGACAAATGTGGATGACAGAGAGCTATCAGAACTGTTCTTGTATCTGCTAATTGCAATAATTATTTGTTTATGTAAATCCTGAAAATAATATAAAATCTTAAACCTTTTTTCCATTTTATATTTCTTTAATAAACAGAATCAAGCAATAGAAATTGCCTGGGGTCATCAGCCTGCGTTCTTGAGCTGGGTAGAAGGCAGACATTTTAAGGATCAAGGGGAAAATGTGGCTGAAATTAACAGACAAGTTGGTCAAAAACTTGGACTCTCAAATGGAGAACAGGTAAACACAAAATGTGAAAATGGTACTTTTTCTTGAAATAATATTAACAATGAAAATAAAATCTTCAGGTTTTTTCTTGGAGGTGGGATAGCACCTAAGTTGGATTCTGCTTTAATCAGTGTGGGATATTGACTCCATACTCCATTGTTAAATCGTTACCTTGTAGTCTGCCATGCTCCCTATTTGATTTTGTATACTACTACTAATTTTACTCATCTTACAGTTTCCTTAGCTTTGTTTTTATGCACTTTCAATTAGGAATTGAATTTTCCTTACTATTATTGAGATTTCACTGTTTCTGAGTAGTGTTCTAACCTTTCAAGGTCATACCTAATTAAAAAAAATTCTTTAAAAGAGGGTTGTTCTTTTTCTGTCTTTGTGAATTTAATTGTTTAGATGATAAATTTTAAAGCTTAAGGACTCATGTTTCTTTTTATTTTATGTACTCATCAGTTTGTTTAATATTTTAAACTATACAATTAATACATACTTATTATGAATGCTTTATAATTGAAATAAAAAATACGTTCCCTTTTCTATACTCTAGGTTTAGAATGAATATTTTCTGTTTGTTGGGATCTTACTAGACTGTTAGTACTCAAAGAATAAGAGTATATGTATTTTCTGCAGTTTTCCCCCACAAGATATATCAGAGATACATTTCCACATATTAGAAACAATTGTTTCTCTGTATATAGAAAATAATATTAAAAGTTGAGTTGCCGAGCCTAGGGGGTTACACATTAAAATGCGATAAATGGGTGTAAATTGTTTTATCTATTTCCCACAACAGTAAACAGTGTTAAGGCCACTGATGAGAAATTCATAGGCCTAGTACTAGTTCTTTGCCCTATATATTTTTTAGAATGTTGAAACTTTAGTACCAGAGTGACTTTAGAAAACACTAGCTTTATTGTCTTACTCTACAGACCTAGGGAAATGGAATGTTTTGCTCAGGATTGAAAAACTGTTCTCTTTGAGTACATGGCACTTTCCTGTGGGAAACACCAGCTTCCTATTCCTGATCTTGATATATAAGTCAGGTCTGTAAACAATAAGTCTTTTCTGTGTAATTCACTTTAGCTTCCAAGTGAACTTTTACCTGATTTTCTGCAATCTCTTATTTGAGCAAGACTGCTATGGCCCTGTCACCTAGATTATCAAGATAGGAGCAGAAAATGGACTGACTGACCTTGTTTCCTCCCCTCAGTGGCTTTGGATTTACTCTCTAACCCCTAGAGATGTCTATAGAAAAGGAAATAAAGTTGAGGTGGTACAGCACTTGATTTACATCTGAACATTTGTTTTACTGTACTCTTAACTGTAAAGAATTATATATGCCTAAGTTAAGTAATTGCTATTTCAATGTGTTTTTTGCTTTTCTAGAAGTGGCATGGCTTGAAGTTAGCTATAAAGCTAATAGTTGCTTTAGAAATAGTATAATACTATATCAAGCCATGATTTGATGACATTTAGTCTTTTTTTTACAAGATATTTTTGTCCTATTTTTAAAAACGAATAAAGGGATGTATTTTCCTTTATTCTCCAATTAGATCATTTTTCCTAGAATGCCGACTTTGTCAAGATCTAGCTAAGAATAAATGTTTAATTTTCAAATGAAGGACAGACCTCCCTCATTTCCCCGACTACACTCCTAATTACATATCTAAAGAGAAGAACTATTTATTTTCTAGAGATAAATATATATATATTGTAAACATAACTTTACATTTTAAATTTCTAACAGGTGTTTCTCAGGCCATGTTCCCATGTGGTTTCTTGCCAGCAAGTTGAGGTGGAACCCCTCTCAGCAGATGATTGGGAGATACTGGTAAAGAAAACAAAATGAGAACTATCCCATTATAAGGTTAACCTCCTTCAAGATATCAGTGTCTTTATGTTCACTCTTTTAGAGCTTCTTTATATTTCCTGAGTTGATTTGAGTAGTGAATTGAGACTTCCTTGTTAGACAGGAAATGAACAAAATGTAAAGTGAATTGATTGTTTTGTTTGTTGGTTCTAGGAGCTGCATGCTGCTTCTCTTGAACATCATCTTTTAGATCAAATCCGAATAGTTTTTCCAAAAGCCATTTTTCCTATATGGGTTGATCACCAAACTTATGTGTTTATCCAGATTGGTAGGTATATGGTAATTGTGTCATTATTCTCTATGGCATAGCATGGAGTTCTAAGTGGAGGTGAACATGGAGTAATGACCTTTGTTTTTCACATAGTTGCACTAGTACCAGCTGCTACATTTGGAAGACTGGAAACTGACACCAAACTCCTAATTCAGCCAAAGACTCGCCAATTCAAAGAGAATACATATTCAAAAGCAGATAGTGCACGTGAACAACTTCATAAATACGGAGTCCAAAAGCAGTTGACAAATGAATTTCAAACCAAGCAACTTCAGTCAGCTTCAGGAGTCACTGAAACAAATTCAGAGGTCACAACTGACTCATCAACCATATCACGCTTATGGAATATGATAGAAGGCGTTTTTTCTTTTGGGTCTGACAAGAAACAAAAGACATCCTGGGGTTTAACTGAAATCAGTGCATTCAAAAACATACAATCAGAAGTTGTACCTATAGACAATATTTTCAGAGTATGCAGATTGCAGCCTCCCAGTGTACATAATGCCTCTGTCTTTAACAAACACCATGCCATTCATGTATTTCCATGGGACCAGGAGTATTTCGATATGGAGCCTGGGTTTACTGTGACATATGGAAAGCTAGTTAAGCTGTATTCTCCAAAGCAGCAGCACAGTAAAGCAAAGCGAAATGCCATGCCACCTGAAAAAGAGAAACAGATATCAGAACCACTGGATCAGAAACAGATTAGCCCAGACCATCATCAAGAAGCTGGTAAGGCCTGTGTGGTAAAGATAGTCTGGAATGGACTTGAGGAATTGAAGAATGCCCTAAAATACATCAAAAATGTAGAAGCGCTCCATCTTGGGAAAGTCTGGGTTAGTATAAATTTTATAATAAAGGGGAAGTGATTTTATGTCGCTTAAAATCAATATAGTGGCCCTCCTTGGTGGCGCAGCGGGTTAAAGCACAGCACAAAGAAGCTTAAGCCACTTCTGCATGAGTTCCATCCCCGCCTGCCCCAGAAGTGACCACAGGGCGCGGCAGACCTCTCCTGACCCGCCCGCTGCTCCCCTCAGCAGTGTACTTGGTCTATCTGCCTGTTCTGCACCCCACTCTGTCTCTGGTGAATCCTCTCACCCTCCGCATCTCTGGCCTGTACCCCAGTTCTGTGTGAATAAATAAATAAATCTTAAAAAAAAATCAATATAGTAAAGTAATGAGTCTGATTTTAGGGGAAACTCCTTGTTTTAGAAAAGAGTGTGTACTTTCTGATTAAATGAACTTGGACAAGTGTAAACTTGGGTAAAACCCCCCAGCCTGAGGTTACATAGCTGATACGTAGAAGTAGGATTCAAATCCAAGGCAGCTGGCTTGTTCTAAAGTTCTTGAAAATGAAGGACTTGTTATATGTTGGGGTAAATGCCCAGTGTGGGAGAGATCCAGTGTGAGATGAGACCTTCTTCTGGGCTGTCACAACACCTGCATTGGGTTGTATCCAGAAACTGCCTGCCCTGCTGGTACCAGCTTTTTCACCTGGGTGCAACTGTGAGAAGTAGAGTAGCTAGTGTTCCATCTTCTCATCTTGACCTCAAACATTAGTGCTAAATTTATGTGAAATGAGTCACCAGCCCTATTTATTTGAGCCTAATTTTAAACCATTGTGAAGTGATACCTCAAGGTGATAAAGGGAAGAAATTAAACTGATAGCAGATACTAGATCTTCAAAAGTCTGAAAATGTTTGGATTTTTAATCATGTACATAATATATATACATGTTGATTTTCAATGATGCATACCTGGAACTTATATACTGTTGTAATACAGTATTACTTCAGTAAATTAATTTTAATAATTAAGCACATGTGTATTTTTAAAATATTAACAAAATGTAAATTAAACATTGAAAGCTTTTTGAAGGACTGAAAGATTCAAATAATATCAGACATTCATAAAATTATGATAGCGGGCTCTAGCCTAGCTGTATATTCAGAAGCAAATTTATGTATACAAGAGCTGAATGTAGGCCAGAGATGCAGGGCAGGGGTGGCAAGAGGCTTCACTGGAGACAGAGTAGAAAGCAGAACAGACAGATTGACCAAGTACACTGCTGAGGGGAGCAGCAGCGGAGACTTAGAGAGTCAGTGCCGCACCATGTGGGTCAGCTCCCTGGCAGGGGATCAAACTCATACTGCAGTGGCTGTGGGTAACTTCATAGTGCTGCATCATTTTCTAAAACTCTAGACCATTGCTTCATTGTTTTAACTGTAAACTCTTAGTTTAGGCGATCCCACTGTATCTTCAAAATCCCTATGCCTTATGCTGAACTTGTTATGTTGTATCTGTTTCTATTAATGATTCCACATTAGGATTCCTTTTTGTAGTGCTGTTGGTAAAGTCCTGGGGTGCATATCAGATTGCAGGAGTTTCTGCTTCCCACTCTGCAGGGTGAGAGCCACTGGGCAATGTGAAGTGGCAGTAGTTGCCACTGAGATACCCTCAGAGGTATCTACCCACTGAGATACCTTAACTTGAATGTCAGAATCGATTGGTCACATTCCAAAGAGAGTGTCAAAAGAAATGAAGGGGAAAACTGAAAATGTTTGTAGTGTGACTATACCTCTGGTTCTGCAATGTCCATTTGTTTATACTATGAATTGTGATAGCTTCTATCATTTCACCTGAATTCATAGATAATAATGTTTATGTTGTGGAGTATTTTTTAATGAAACTTTGAACATTTTTACATTATTGTTTATTTTTAAATTTTAGATTCCAGATGACCTGAGGAAGAGACTAAAGATAGAAATGCATTCAGTAGTCAGAATAACTCCAGTGGAAGTTATCCCTAAAATTCCAAGATCTCTAAAATTGCAACCTAGAGAAAACTTAGTGAGTTCAATTTATTTATTACAATTGCTTTAGATGTGTTGTAAAATTCTAGTTACTTTAGTTATAAGAATGTTGTATTTCCTTTTTGATAGAAAGGCAAAACAGTTTTTAGTTGTGGTAAAATATATATTTAATAAAATGTTTTAACCATTTTGAAGTGTAATTTAGTCATGTTAATTACATTCATAATGTTAGGCAACCATCACCATTGGTTCCAAAACTTACTGATGAAGAAACTCTGCCCATAAATAACTCCTTACTCCCCCAGCCTCTGATAATGTTTAATCTTGGTGTCTGACTTATTTCATGTAGCATTTTCTTGGTACATTCATGTTGTAACATATATTCGATCTTCATTCTTATTTATAACTAAATATTCCAGTTTTATGTATCACATTTTGCTTAACTGTTCATCTGTTGATGAACACCTGGCTTTTTCCTTTTGCCTGTTGTAAATAATGCTGCTTTGAATGTTGGTATATAAGTTATCTTTTCGATTCCATAGTAGGAATGGGATTACTGAGTCTTGGTAGTTCTGCATTTAACTTTTTGAGAAACCAAGAATATGTGATGTACGTTTTATATATGTATGATATAACAGTACAACTATGGGTAATTATGACTTTTGAGAAATTGATATTTTTTGCTGCATCCATATAATTTTAAAAAATCTTGCATGTTGTTTCTAATGTTTATAGTATTAGTATTATAACCTAAAAGAGTGCAAGTCTCTTTTACTTTTCTATTCTGTTTTTTGTTGTTGTTACATGGTATAGCAGGAAGTGAAGGATTAAGTAAACTTTAAAAATCCTTTTACTAGTGTATTATCAGTTCCAGTTTGGGTTGCCAGTACAATATGAAAAAATTATTGTACTGTGTGCTTCTAAAATTCCAAGCGTTTAATGCTTCTCTGATAATTTAGGTGGTACTCTAGGATCTCCAAGGACATCATGGTGGTCAGTATGTTATAGAAGAAGCAATTGAGCAGAGCTTTCTAGTTTATGTAACTTCAGATAAGATAACTTATATGAGTGGTGAAGAGGAAAAAAAATTGAATAAATGCACTTCCTTAACAATATTTCACTAAACACTTGATACATTGGCATGGGAGTGTATAATATCTCAATTTTGTCATAACTTTCTGGTCTTGATATTCTAGCTTGATTCCCAAACAAGAGAGAACAATAATGGATCTGTTTGAGATGTAACAGAACAGAGAACTATCTTCCTTTGCAAATATAATTTTTCCTCTGAATTTTTGTTACCCCTATTTTTAATTTCAAATAGGTTCAACACAATTTTAAGTTACATCTTTAAAAATTAGCAATGTTTTTCTCAGTTCTTCATACCTTTTCAAACAATATTAACATTCATTGAGCATATCAGCACTGTAACAACTTAATAGAATAAAAAGTCACTTGCAAATATAATGGATTTGTTTTTCTGTGTGCAAAGAACTTTGGAGAATTCAGAGGTGGTTAAGTGAGGATCTAGGCTTCCTTGTACTTTTTCATCAGCCATCCTTAGCTTATGACTCTCCTGCTCTTAGATGTAAGATGTTTGATTTACAACTAGCCACCACATCTACATTCCACAAAGGAAAGGCACAAGGCAGATTCTCCTTGCAAGATTTCTTTAACTTTTAGTTACGAGAATCCTTCCTAGGGGTTGGCTAGCGTGCATCCATATGTACATATATACAGCTCCAAGCTGGGATTTGAGAAGTTTTTTTTCTCCGCCTCTGTAGTTGAGAGGGAAGGCAGAATTGATCCAGTGACTATCAGTTGAAGTAAAGTGTTATATATATTACTTGACACAGAGAAAAAGAATGTTTGACTTTGCTACTTAGTAAATGTGTCTTCATGCTACTCATTGTACTACTCATTGTACTTGAATGTCAAATCCAGAATCTTTGCCTATAGAATGTGAACATCTGTCACTGAGCTTGTTTGGTAAGGTTTGTAAGATAAGGTGTTAAAATAGGAATGTTGAGGTTAGTTACTAGGACCATTAGTTACTGTTCTTTTCTTTGGCAGCCTAAAGACATAAGTGAAGAAGATATAAAAACGGTGTTCTATTCATGGTTACAGCAGTCTACCACTGTCACACTTCCTCTGATAATATCAGAGGAAGAATCGATTAAGCTTAGAATTAAAAATGGTAGGTGAATTTTATTTACTTTGGTATTTTTCCTATTGAAAAGACACAAAATATTTGTGTTTTTCCAAATTATCTGTGAACAAGAAATAAAAAATGATAAACAGTAAATTTTACATATCAAAAATGCCGTTATTGCAATTTTAGTAAATTTGATATTTAAAATCTTAAATTATTGCATCTCAACTTCAGTACTAATTCTGCATTTATTACTTTTCAATAGCGTTGAAAGAGTTTTCTCTGAATATAGCCCATTCTTTGGAAGAAGGAAAAGAAAAAAATATTTATCTGTTGAGTACCAATCTGCTACAGAAGACCACAATACAAGTAATTACATGCAACTGAATATTTAATGAAATATGTCACATGTGAGCAAAGTCTGACTTTACCTGTAATACCTTACATTATAATATGCATTAGAACTGGGGTTGGAAGAGTGAGGAATAACTTAATTTAAAATATTTTGTTCTGTAATATTGTTATCTAATAATATTTATCCTGAATTTAAAAATTACTGTGTCAACACTATTAAGTTTCAGGGATATGTTAATTGGCAAATAGATCATGATTTAAAATTCTTCTAGTATTAAAACAAAGGAAAAGTTAGGATTTTTAAAACATTCCTATTTTTATCTGCAGTTTTGCGTCACAACCCATATTTTGGCAATTCTTAAATTCTCAATTCTTCACAAATATTTTCCCATCACTTTTCTTCTAGAAATATTTTAGAAGTGGTCTTTTTAGAACATAGTGTTTTAATTAAGATATTCACAGTTGTGATTATAGAATTGAGGATGCTGTAGTTATTTTGAATTTCATTGGTTTGGAACAGTGTTTAAGACAGTTGAAGGAATATCATTCAGAGGGTTCATATAGAAGAGTTGTGATTGTAAAAGTGACACATATCAAATTGTAAATGGCTATATCTATAAAATGTTTTAAAGAGAAGAAATTCTTTATTGCTAATTGACCATAAATAGGTTTCTTGGATGAACAATTATTGTTGTCAAGACTATTTTAAAGGAATAATCTTGCATGCACAATGTATCTTCTTTTTTGGTGTAACAGAATCAGCAAATCAGTTTCCTGGGGCCAGAAAAAACAGGAAAAAGATATCACTTTGAAATGTAAATCTGATTTTTCCTTGCTACTATAGGTCCTTCTAGATCCTATGGTAAAAGAAGAAAACAGTGAGGAAATTGACTTTACTCTTCCTTTTTTAAAGCTGAACTGCTTGGGGTAAGAAGTTACAGCCAAACTCTAGCATGTTTAGAGACATGTCTTCACAGTTTTCTCTGGCAGGGTTTTTATGTATAAATATTTAAGTAGGTGTTACAGTCAGTGAACAGTTTCACTAATCATTAGTAGATACTTTTTCAAATCCCCTCTTTCCTCCCATGCTTTGGTTTCTTCCCACCGCCTTGTCCTCTTAGGTAACTAAGTCTGAAGATTATTTTGAAGTTTTCTTTGATAATTTATTTGTGAGAAGAAATCAACAAGAATGACCTGGATCAATTGTGCTTGAATAAAATCATAATTCTTAGAACAATAAACATTTTTTTCAATCAAATCTAAAAATATTAATTGAATGTGAAAAATATTTCAAATTAAGTTATTCCTTCACTTTTGTCAGTGTATAATTGGGATTGAGCTTTTCTCAATTTATGAGACAAAAATCTGAAAGAACCTCCTCTAATGTTCTTTATCTTTAATAAAGGAAGTATGAGACTCTCATGTCAACATTACCTCTTAGAATTCTTCATAGAGGTTTTGGCAGAGATAGCAGTAGTGACTTGCTTTCCTATAATAAGTTGTGTATAATCTTTAAATGTTCACTGAAACGATTAAGCTATAAAGCAACAATGTTTAAATATGCCACAAGCATATATAAAGTCTTTTTAGTATAAACTCTAATTTTAGAAATTTATGATTTTTTTTCTGTTAGCAGCAATAAGTCAATAAGGAAGGTAGATTAAAGTTCATGTTTGTGTAATCCACAGCTTAAAAGTGAATTTGAAATATACTGTTAAAAGAGGAAATAAGTCCAGTTATTGTTACCATTTCAAAAGTTCCCATTCATGATTATATTGATTATCTAACCAAAAATCATTTTGTAAGGGGAATTTGTGTGTTATGACAAATTCCTGGGAGAGTGTTTATCAGGGCAGAAGTTTTGTTACAGCACATGTTTGAAAGAGATACAATTAATTTTAACCAATTTGATATCAATACTCTTTCAAATGAGGGAGAATGTTCAATACTTTACTCTTTCAAAAATCATTAATTAGTCTGGGAAGGGAAGTTTCAGAATGTTGTACAGCTAAATTTTACCCTGCTTCACTGTTTTATCATATTACAATTTATTTTGCAGAGGAGTGAGTATCTTAGGCACTTCCTCCATGGAGCATATCACTCATAGCCTCTTGGGACGGCCTTTGTCTCGGCAGCTGATGGCCCTTGTGGCAGGACTGAGGAATGGGGCCCTTTTGCTCACAGGAGAAAAAGTATGTGTGGTTTAAATGTGCTTGTATTCACTAACTAGTAACTTCTAATTCCTTCCTTTTTGGGTTTGGTCATCTATTATATGTATTAATTTATATGACTATGGTTATTTTTTTAGGGTGTTGACAGGCTTTCTGTATGGTGAATAAGTCTTGCATACCTGTAGTAAATTCTATTTTATCCAGGTGTTTTATTCTTTTTATATTTGGTTGAGTTCTGTTTGCTAATGTCTGGCTGAGGATTCTTGTATCTAAGTTTATGAGTGGTATTGCTCCCCTCCCTGTCTCTGGTGAATCCTCTCTCCCCTCCAACCCTGCATTTCTGGCCTGTGCCTGAGCTCTTATATACATAAATAAGTTTTTTTTTTTAAAGCTAATGTTAATTTAAGATAATAGGGAGGTGTGTAATAATTTTTTCCCAGAAAAATTATTTTGTATAGCACAAATAAAATGAAGCATTTTTTTTTAAAGATTTATTTATTTATGCATACAGAACTGGAGTACAAGCCAGAGGTACAGGGCCAGTGAGAGTGGGGAGCAGAACAGGCAGATCGACAAAGTACACTGCTGAGGGGAGCAGCGGGTGGATCAGGAGAGGTCTGCCACGCCATGTGGATCACCTCAGGGCAGGGATCAAACTCATGCTGAAGTGGCTTTAGCTTCTTAGTGTTGTGTTTTAACCTGCTACGCCACCAGGGAGGGCCCAGAAGCATTTTTAAAGGTAAAAGATTTAAATCTTGACTGTTTCAATCAACAAATAGAATGTAAACATCTAATTTGTTTTGTACAATCCATGCACAATTAATAAACATAGGATTCAGCTAACTTCTAGCAGCTTATAAGAAAAGTTCTAGGGTGTTAAATCAGTATAGAATTGTAATGCTTTCATAAAGGCAAACTGAACTTTCCCATCACTGAATAACATTAAAAATCATGTCTTAAGAATTATTTCTTGAGTGGCTAGAAAATAATTCTTTTCCAGTCATCCTGCAGTGCCATCTTAGAACCTCCTGAATCCAGATATTTACTCCTTCTGAATGTCACAATGTCAGCCCTCATAATGTGGTCTAGAGTTTAAGGGATTTATTACCCCCCACACATTTTATTGAGATATAATTGACATCAAACATTTTAGAATATCTACTTAATTGATGAGACCGAATCTTGCTGGTTGCCACAGTTCTGTGACTGACTTGACTGAGAATTCTTAAGAAGCAATTTTTTTTCTAGGGATGTGGAAAATCAACTTTAGCCAAGGCAATCTGTAAAGAAGCATTTGACATATTCGATGCCTATGTGGAGATAGTAGACTGTAAGGTCTTACGAGGTATGAATATGATTAATACTCTATTTTGTTATAAATCATCTGAAATTCTCTATGGAATAAGGGTAAGTATAAATAAATTCAGAATTTATTGCATGTTTATTTCTTCAGTTTTATGGAATTGAGCACTTTACTATATCCTCGGAAGCTGTGTAAATGATAAAAAAAAAAATTACAGTGGTTGGTATATTAAAATAGCGATTGAATTTTCAGTGTTAAATCCGTATAGAACTGTAATGCTTTCATAAAGGCAACCTGAACTGAATAACATTAAAAATCATTTCATGTCTTCAAAATTAAGGAAAAAGGCTTGAAAACATACAGAAAGCCCTAGAGGCAGCTTTCTCAGAGGCAGCATGGAGGCAGCCGTCTGTCGTTATGTTGGATGACCTGGATCTCCTTGCTGGCCTGCCTGCTCTCCCGGAACAAGAGCGTGGTCCTGATGCTGTGCAGAGCCAAAGGCTGGCATGTGGTAACACATCTGCTCACTGACTTGCGGCTTTTTTCCTTTTGTCAGACAGCATTTGTAATCGTGATGGTAAATCTTCTCTCATCGGGGAATACAATTTAACCTATTTTGTGTTGCTTTTGAGGCCTCTGTAGCATTCTTCAGATCTCCTTTATTGCAGCAAATTTGGTTAGGGTAAGAGCAGTGTGAAAATTTTACAATTTTATTATTAGTCTTTTTAGGACTTTTTTCCTAAACTTTGTAGAAATTGTTCAGTTATACAGGTTTATGCTTCAGTTATACAGATTTATTCATTCATACTTTTGCACAGTCTGTATTCTCAAAGTCTAGATGATTGAAGAGAAGTAAACACATTTTTAGCACTAAATAGAAGTAAACACATTTTTAGCACTAAATATGGCTATAATAATGATAGCTCTTCTGTGTTGGGTGTCTTCTCTGGGCTAGAAATTGCTTTGTACTCTATATCCAGGTACTCTTCTGGTTTTACAGGTGACTAAATGAATTTTCAAAAAGCCTAACTTGACCAGGCTGACACACTAGGAGGCGGTAGGATAGGTTATGCTCACATTGTCCCTAGGCTGTGATAGATAGTTTTAGGGGTGCGCATCTATCAGGGAAGGCTTTTTTGAGTTGATGAGATCAGTTTTGATGGAGGAGAAATTGTGAAGCAGCTTTCTGCTAATGAAGAAGCAAGGTAAGTGTGTTCCATAGGCAAAGGCATCGATGTACAGACAATAATGATAGGGAATATTCCACAGACCGGAGCTTACAGTTTGAGAAGATTATGGTGAGGGGGCAGCTGGATGATTTGGCAGCTGGATGATTTGGCTGCTCCAAGATCATTGGAAGCTGAAATAGATTACAGAATGCAACTGTGGTGGCTTGGGTTATATTATAAACTACAGTTGATTTCAAATTTTGAATCTTAACAGCATCTGCAAGACTTATTAGTGTTTTAAGAGAATGCTTCAAATTTCTAGGTTGGTAGTCAGATACACTTTTTTTTTTTTTTTTAAAGATTTATTTATTTATTCATACAGAACTGGGGTACAGGCCAGAGGCTCAGGGGCGGTGAGAGGCTTCACCAGAGACAGAGTGGGGAGCAGAACAGGCAGATTGACGAAGTACACTGCTGAGGGAAGCAGCGGGCGGGTCAGGAGAGATCTGGCTCGCCATGTGGTCTCCTCCGGGGCAGGCGGCAGGCGGGAATCGAACTCATGCGGAAGTGGCTTCAGATTCTCAGTGCTGCGCTTTAACCCGCTGCGCCACCAGGGAGGGCCAGATACACTTTTTTTTTAAAGATTTATTTATGCATACAGAACTGGGGTACAGGCCAGAGGCTCGGGGCGGTGAGAGGCTTCACCAGAGACAGAGTGGGGAGCAAAACAGGCAGATCAACGAAGTACACTGCTGAGGGGAGCAGCGGGCGGGTCAGGAGAGGTCTGCCACGCCATGTGGCCACCTCTGGGGCAGGCGGGAATTGAACTCATGTGGAAGTGGCTTTAGCTTCTCAGTGCAGTGCTTTAACCCGCTGCGCCACCAGGGAGGGCCCCAGATACATATTTTTAATGCCTATTTCCACCCCATCCTTCTCATACCAACCAAACTGCTATATTTTGGGTAGAAAGAGATTGTTCAGGTAGTCATAGGAATATATGCTGTATTTAATTTAACAGAACACAGGGCCCTCCCTGGTGGCACAGCGGGTTAAAGCACAGCATTATAAGCTAGCTGCAGCCACCTCTGCAAGTTTGGTCCCCGGCCCCAGAGGTGACCCACATGGCGCAGCAGATCTCTCCTATATCACCCACTCTGCTCCCCTCAGCAGCGTACTTCATCATTCTGCCTGTTCTACTCCCAGCTCTCTCTCTGGTGAATCTTCCCACTGCCCCTGTACCTTTGGTCTGCACCTCACTTCTGTGTGCATAAATAAATAAATCTTAAAAAAAAAAAAACAAAAGAATTAATAGAACACAATACGGAAATTCATCACCCTTCTATAATATTTGAGATTCTTTCTGATTTATAAGATCCAGAGTAGGAACCTCTCTAGCCAGTGCTCTGAATTACAGAGTTTGTATTGCCTCCATCAGGTTGATTATAGGCTGACCAATATTAGCTCTGTGATAAATAAGGAATAAAAATTTAATTTTTAAAATAAAAAGTCATCCTTACCGTCAATTCTAGATGATTTTTTGATGAATATATAATTTTGCAATTTCATGTTTATATTTACTAAGCTTTTACCCTGAATTGTTTAATTCTAGCTTTGAATGATGTACTGAAAGAATTTATTTCCATGGGAAGCTTGGTTGCACTGATTGCTACAAGCCAATCTCAACATTCTCTACATCCTCTACTTGTTTCAGCTCAAGGAGTTCACATATTTCAGTGTATCCAACATATTCAGCCACCTGATCAGGTAACACACTACTTGTAAAAATTTTTGAAGTATGTCCTCTTTATAGAAATTATCTTTTATTAATGATTTATGGCTTTAAATTTGTTTATGTAAGTGGTCTAAGGATGTTTAAAAAGTTGACATGTGGATGTTACACTAGGTACACAATTTTCTTTTATAACCATCTGAAATACTACTGTGTATTTTCCAAGAAATAGCATTTTGAAAAAACTTTCCTTCTTTAATAAAGTTTATTTTTAATTTCTTTACAAAGAAAGAAGCCCTAAAGATTCTAAACTGCTTCACTTGCCATTGGTGAAATCTATGAATAAGTCAAGGAACTTTTTTTTTTTCAGCTTTATTGAGGCAAAATTGACAAATGAAATTGTGTACATTTAAAGTGTCTAACTTGATAAATTGATAAACATATATTGTGAAGTATTTACCAAAAATCAAGTTAACACATCTATCAACTCACCTAGTGATTTTAGTATTTTTTGTTAATGAGAAAGAATAGAGAGAAATGTAAATAGATGTCTTAAAAATTTGGTAAACTTTTTTTTTTTTTTTTAACCAACACATAGTCCCCTCTGGGGATTGATGCTTATGTGGCACAGAGCTCAAAGAAGTGTGTTCCAGGGCATCAGGCACATTTAAGTTTTTTGTTTAAAAGTTTCGCCTAGAAGCTATCATACATATTCATACCTTGTGCTAAATAAGTTATTGAAGAACAAAAGTACACCTATAAAGCCACTATTTAAGTGTACAATTTGACCAGTTTTAACAAATGTATATGTCCACCATGATACCACCATCTCAGTTTCACTGTGTATTCCATTACTTCTAGAAGTTTCCCGCTGTCCTTCCCTCAGACACCACTGGTCTTTCTTTCGCTATGTATTATGTCACCTTGATTTTTATTGATACATATTAGAATTTATAGTTAAGTAAAATAAGAAATTTTAATTTCTTTTCTTTAGGAGCAAAGAAGTGAAATTCTGTATAATGTAATAAAAAACAAACTGGGCTGTGATATAAACCAGTTTACTGATCTTGACCTGCAACGTATAGCTAAAGAAACAGAAGGGTTTGTGGCTAGAGATTTTACAGTCCTTGTGGATCGAGCCATACATTCTCACCTTTCTCATCAGAATATATCTACCAGGGAAGGTATGTGCACCATTAAACTTGAGCACTCCCTGGTGGCGCAGCGTGTTAGGACGCAGCACGGCAAGCTGGCCACAGCTGCTTCAGTGCGAATTAGACCCCTGGCCCTGGAGGAGATCCACATGGCGCAGCAGACTTCTCCTGACCCGCCTACTGCTCCCCTCAGCAGTGTACTTCATCATTCAGTCGGCCTGTTCTGCTCCCCACTCTGTCTCTGGTGAAGCCTCTCACCCTCCGCATCTCTGGCTTATACCCCAGTTCTGCATGAATAAATAAATCTTTAAAAAAAAAATCAAAACTTAAAATCTTTTTTGCTTTCCAAAAGTAAGTATTTGAGTAGAATATGACCTCTCTAGCTGAGATGAGGTCATGTTATGAAAATTCCAATACACTTTCCTCCCTGGTGGTGCAAGGGGTTAAGTCTCAGCACTGTGAAGCTATCTGCAGCCACTACAGTACAAATTCTATCCCCAGCCAGGGAGGTGACCCACATGGCACAGCAGACATCTCTTGTCTGGTCCACTGCTCCCCTCAGCAGTGTATTTCAGTCAGTCCTCCTGTTCTGCTCCTCACTCTGTCTCTGGTGAATCCTTTCAGTGCCCCATATCTCTGTCCTACACCCTAGCTCTTGTATGTGTAAATAAATACATCTTTTAAAAAGTTCTTGTACAGTTAGATTTCTAAAAAAGTTTTGTTTACTTTTAAACAGAATTAGTTTTAACAACATTAGACTTCCAAAAGGCTCTCCAAGGATTTATTCCTGCATCTCTACGAAACGTTAACCTGCATAAGCCTAGGGACCTGAGCTGGGATAAGATTGGTGGATTACATGAAGTTCGGCAGATACTCGTGGATACTATCCAGTTACCAGCTAAGGTACCTTAAAAAAAAGGAACTGTTTGCTCTCAAAAAAAAAAAAAAAACCCACTGAATCATTGACTTCAGCTTTATGGTGACTTGCTTAACCTCAGTTTTTCACTGAGTTACCAAATAAATGTTAGTTTGATACTCTCATAGATTTAAAGTATTTTTTAAAATTCCTTGTCCATAGAAGTTTATAATAAGTATTTTTTTATTTGAATTTCACAGTTCTTGTGTTGAAATTTGAATAGGAAAAAAAAAAGGCGGAAGAGTCAGCTAGGGCCATAAAGCTAATGGATTAAGCCAGATATCCATACTCAGGGTAGGCTGGAAAAGCAGAGTTATACTGGTCTAGGCAGATAACAGGATCAAGAGGGGGCAAGAATAGAAGATCAGAAGGTAGTGTTAAGGGAATTGGTGGGTTAGTATTTGCATTAGAGACCTGAGAGATAAAATCACTGCATGAAATCCAGGACACAGGCCAAGAAGTAAGGAGATGGGTATAAGGACTTCTGCTACAGGTACTGGGTGGCAGGCACTGGAGGCTGCAGAAGGGGCCTGCAGCTCATTACCACTGCGTTGAGTGACAGAATGGGCATGGAGGCACTTGTCAGCTGGGCCGTGATCCCAAACGCTGGATGGGCACCAGGTATTCGTAGCCAGAGGCAAAATCACTGACTTTGGGGTGTCCCTCAGATTAGGATCAAGGTAGAAGTGAAGTAGTTGTTTTATCAGCAGGTGGAGTTAAATAGGCATAAAAGTAGAGACAAGATTTGCTTAACAGTAAGGTTACCTGATGTTTCTTGCTCTGTGAGAAGCAGATGGTTTGGAAATAATTTAAAGTGTTGATCACTTATTTAGCATGGAGACTTTACTGCTGTTATTATACATGCTTATCTAGTACTTTCTTTGGATATATTTGAGTACATGTAGCTGTCATAATTGGCTGCAAACTATACAAATAGAAGGTGCTGTACTTGTTAAAAAGGTTGTTTTTTATTTTATTGATATAGTACTTTTATAATTTATTTTTAAAGAAAGAAAAATGAAAGAGTCTGCGTTATATGCATTTTTGTACATATTTCTTAGCCCAAATGGGGGAAAAAAATTTGTGGTAGCTCCTGTGAATAAATTATTTTAAGTAGGAATTTTATATCCTATTGTACTGTTAATTTAAAGGTAGCAGTTATTATAAAGTAAATGCTTTCTTCTATACATTGATCTTTGTTCTCTTGGTCATTTGTTTTATACTTGAGCTTTGTCATATTTCTGTATTTTTCAGTACCCAGAATTATTTGCAAATTTGCCCATACGACAGAGAACAGGTGTATTGTTGTATGGTCCTCCTGGAACAGGAAAAACCTTATTAGCTGGAGTAATTGCACGAGAGAGTGGAATGAACTTTATTAGTGTCAAGGTATGTTTTGCATTTATCTTTCCTTTTTAATTAAGATGAAAGTTATATCATTAACATTTTAAATGTACCATTCAGTGGCATGACTGCATTTACAATGTGGTGTGACCACCACTTCTCCAGCTCCAAAACTTTTCATCCCATTTCCTGTCCTTCCATCCTCTGGCAGCCAACCCTGATCTGCTTTCTAGCTCTATGGATTTGCCTGTTCTGGATGTTTCATATAAAGGGAATCCTGGAATGTGTCTCTTTTCCATCTGACATCTTTTAATTTAGTATACTGTTACCTAAGTTGAAGTGTGTGTCAGTACTTCATTCCTTTTGAAGGCTAACTGATATTTTATTGTAAGGATGTGTTATAATGTGTCCATGCATACTGGGGTGGATAATTGGAATGTTTCCATCTTTTGCCATTATGAATAATGATGCTGTAAATATTTGTGTACAAACACAAATCTTTACGTATTGTAAATCAAATTTTATGTAGTCATAAAAGAGCAAATTATACTTGGAGAAAGAAAACCTAGATACTGGATACCATACTGAGGGGGAAAGCTGCGGTTTTATAATGGTTTGGTTATTTGTTGGGCCTGAAGTTTTTTCAGATATAGTCAGTTAATTAAGGGAAGTGCTAGCAGGTCATTTTGGGAATACTGAGAATTCTGTTACTGGTATTCATTACGGTCTGGGCTCCATGTTGTAGTTCCGACTCCAGCACCTTAGCCGTATTAGTCTTGAAAAGCAGCCTAAAAAGTGATTGAATTTCAAAAAAAAAAAAGGAAGCCTTATTTAACTTGGTTTGTTATCTGAAAGCCACTTTAGTAATTTCTCTTTGGATTATGTATCACCTTTTTTAATCACATGATATTTTTGTAAACTGGTTATACATGTGTGTTTTGGTAATGATGGAGAAAAACTAAAATTTCATGATACTTCCTACTTTTTTTGGAATCTGAGGTAATGATGACATACTCCTTTCTGTCACCAGAATGTAGTTTTAACAATTCAAAAAAACCTTATTTTCAAGACTAAAGCTTGTGAGTATATGGGACATCTTACCCACTTTAATAAATATTTAAGTTGCAATTTATAGAGTTGTCAGTGAAGAGATTTAAGTAGAGCATCTGGTGGGTCATAGTGGATCTTAAGAGGTATGCATCCAACACAGGGACCTTTCACTAGTACCAGCATGCTGCCTTGTGCCATCCTTGAAAAGTTCTATGTTGAGGAAACCTAATTAAATACTATTATATTAGTAGATATCTAGGTAGTTGGATATTAGAAATTCTTTATTTTGGTCCCATATCTTGATCAGTTATTGGGCTTTCCACAGTAGTAAAGTTTCATAGTAGAACACTTGGGAGGGGCCTGTTCATTTTTTTTTTTTTTTTAATGCCAATGTAAAACATGCCATGAGACTAATCTCATGGCTGATTTTACTACATGTAGTAAAGTTTCATACAGTTGACTTTTAGGAAAGATGACATACTCAAATTCAGTATACATAAATTGGTGTCATCACTGAAGATTTTGATTAGTATTTCATGTCTCATTACGTATTTTTTTCAAGTCACCAAATTGTGGTAGAACTTTTCCCCTTTTAAAATTACTAAATAAATAATTATTCAGGACATGTTTTGCACTGGCTACTGTTTTTGGCACTGGGACTTCAGCAGTGAACAAAACTGGCTTTATGGAGCTACACTGTATGAGTGGAGAAACAGTAAAGAGATGCAATAAATATATAATACATTTTCAGGTAGTGTGAAGGAAGACAAGCAGGATAAGGAGGCGTAGAGTAACAAGAGTGGGTCATAGATTGGCTCGTCAGGTGAGGCCTTTTGGGTATGTGACGTTTGTGAACTTAAATGAAATGAAGGTAAATACCAAACATAAAATTTTTGGTTTATTTATTCCAATATACACATTAATTTTTAAAACATATCTAAGACACATTGCATTTTAACCATATTAAAAGTTTTCCATGATTGCATTTAGACTTCATAAGAACTATATTTTGTTTTAAAATTTTATCTTAATTCTAATTAATTTAATTTTACCTAATAGGGGCCAGAGTTACTCAGCAAATATATTGGAGCAAGTGAACAAGCAGTTCGGGATATTTTTATTAGGTTGGTTTTTTAAGTAACCTTATGACTATTATTGACTAGTCACTGCTGTTTGGTATTCACTTGTTGTTAAAGAATGGATGTTGAAACCTGTGATTTATGTGAATAAGCTAGAGAACAAAGGTTCTAAAATTCACTAAATTCCTCTTTAAAAGTACATTTTTTTTAATATTTTGGAAATGACAATGTAAGTATAAATGTTGAAAGTGTCATCAGAAGTGATTACTCAAAGGAATCTTGAAGTAAATATGTGAAGTATGTAATTATTCCAATTTGTCATTCCTAAATTAAGATTACATGTGACCAACTTAGAATAGGTGTTAATATTTTAATAATGAAAGGTTATTTAAGCGTCCTTAAATTGAAAAGCTATTTTGTTTCAGTCTTCTAAAATTTTATTGTAAAATATGTGGTTAGAATATATAAAATGGGGCCCTTTCTGGTGGTACAGCTGATTAAGGCACAGCTACTTCTGTGTGAATTCCATCCCCCGCCAGGGAGCTGACCCACATGGCGTGGCAGACCTCGCCTGTCCCACCCGCTGCTCCTCAACAGTACATTTCAGTAGATTTGCCTGTTCTGCTCCTCACTCTGTCCCTGGTGAATCATCTCACTGCCCCTGTACCCCAGTTCTGTATGCATAAATTAATCTTTTTTAAAAATACATGAAATGAAGGCCCTCCTTGGTGGCGTAGCGGGTTAAAGAACAACACTGAGAAGCTAAAGCCACTTCCGCATGAGTTCGATTCCCGCCTGCCCTGGAGGAGACCACATGGCGTGGCAGACCTCTCCTGACCCGTCCGCTGCTCCCCTCAGCAGTACACTTCATCCATCTGCCTGTTCTGCTCCCACTCTGTCTCTGGTGAAGCCTCTCACCACCCCTGCACCTCTGGCCTGTACCCCAGTTCTGTATGCATAAATAAATAAATCTTTAAAAAAAAAATACATGAAATGAATTCTTGTATATCAGCCTCCCATTGGGAGCCATTATTATGGATTAAGTCAACACATATTGACAAAAGGTTCAATCTACCAGGAAAATATTAAAATTCTAAAAGTTTGTTGTACTTAATGGGAAAACCTTAAAATATTAAAGAAAAAATTGACACAATAGTAAGCAGAATTTACAAATCCCTTCGTAGTGGGGAATTGACAGTTTTCAGTAGTTAGCTTGAGACCAAGAAAAAAAGTAGATTTAAATAAATATATATATTCACCAAATACATGTATCAGGCAAACCCTGAAGACCAATTTCAAAAATATGAAATTTTTTTTGTTCTTAGAGCTCAGGCTGCAAAGCCTTGCATTCTTTTCTTTGATGAATTTGAATCGATTGCTCCTCGAAGAGGCCACGATAACACAGGAGTTACAGACCGAGTAGTTAACCAGCTGCTGACTCAGTTGGATGGAGTCGAAGGCTTACAGGGTAATAATAATTGTAAATGCAGAAAGTCTTGTTGTAAAAGAATTTCTTCAGGATTTTGTAAGTTCTTTTTTTTCCTCCTCCAGGTGTTTATGTTTTGGCTGCTACTAGTCGCCCTGACCTCATTGACCCTGCTTTGCTCAGGCCTGGTCGACTAGATAAATGTGTATACTGTCCTCCTCCTGATCAGGTAGGTGACAAGTTCAGACTTAGAGTCCTAAATCCAACAAATGCTACATTCTTGTGGACTTTATATCTCCCATGAAAATAATTCTGAATTAGATATAAAGCCTCTCTTTCCATGCAAGTCTAAAATCTTTACAGTATTTCAGTGTTGGTCAGCTGGAAAACAGGTAGTAAACCTAAAGTAAAGTACTATGCATCTGCATTCTTATGTTCAGAGATCACACAACTCATTGTCCTGACAAAAGACTGATGGAGAATCAAGTATGTGAATAGTGAGCATTGGGACAGGTTCTGTAGATACTGGTTTTCATTGTTCTTAATCCACTTTTATTCCAACTCTTGTACCCAAATTCAGGTATTAATAAATAAGTAAAAGAAAATATTTGAATATTCGAAGTATAAAATACATACTAAGTTATTTTAATTTTACTTTCTTGCTCAAATCTAGAAAGTAAGCACTGTCTGAATAAGAAATGACTTACACCAGATAAGAACATTGATTTTCATTGGGTTCCATTTGTTAGGGAAAAAGTTTTAGAGAGGTAGTACATTTCTTAACCTTCCTTCTAAAGCTTATTAGCTATATAAAGTTATAGAAAATATCATGAGAGTTTAAGATGTTCATTGTTAATTTGTTAAATCAACTCATTTTACTCCATCAGGTGACACGCTTTGAAATTTTAAATGTTCTCAGTGACTCTTTACCTCTGGCTGACGATGTTGACCTTCAATATGTGGCATCGGTAACAGACTCCTTTACAGGAGCTGATCTGAAAGCTTTGCTTTACAATGCCCAGTTAGAGGCCTTACATGGAAGGCTGCTGTCCTGTGGACCTCCAGTAAGTTATACATATGAGGACAGAGGTACTGTGGCAACTTAAGTTCAGAGACAAAATTTGAGTCTTAAAAATCCCTATTTTTTAGCAGTTAAAACTAAGTAGAAATTTAGCTTCAGTTAAATGTTCTCTAGTTGGACTATTGGCTTTCCATAGAATTATGAAGTGTAGAAGGATACTACTTAAACTGTGAAACATTATGATTTAAATAATATAAACAGAAAAATATTGGGGTTTAGTTTGTACTTTGATTTTTTTTTTTTTAAGTTATTTTGAAGATCAGATTGTCTCATTTGTGGCCAACAGGAGCTTCTTTTTAATGAATCCTGGGTCCTTTTAATGTCCTCCTCATTCTTTGACCACAAAATACACTGGGTTTATCTTGTACTTCAGCCTTAGAAGCAACCTTCTCTCTAGGTATAGCATTTTGATTTTTCCTCCATTTTGTTGATGAATTCTTCCAGGACATCAAGTTCCTAGATGAACATAGTATTTAGTGTTTGCTACTTATTTTTGTAAGCCATCAAACTCGTTTTTCCCTTTTCATTACCAAAAAAAAGGGTTTATTGGTAAAGTTACTCTATGATAAATCGCTCTATATAATATGGTTAATTCATTCCAGTATAGAAAAAATGTGAACCAAAAGACAGATAAAAGTAAAATCTAGAAGCTTTGTTATAGACTTTTTGGGGAGATGATTGGCAAATTATCTTTACATTTTCTTATTTTAATAGTTCAATTTTATGATATGCCTCAAGCCCATTATAGAATAAGAGCTTTTAAAAATGCCCTTCATTACTTTGTACTGGCGATCAGTTTCTTTTTTTCTGAATTGTGGATTATTTAGAAATTTACAACTAGTTATCCTTTTCTTTTAGGATGGAAGTTCCAGCTCTGATAGTGACCTAAGTCTGTCCTCAATGGTGTTTCTCAACCATAGTAGTGGTTCTGATGATTCTGCTGGAGATGGAGAATGTGGCTTAGAACAGTCCCTTGTTTCTCTAGAAATGTCCGAGATACTTCCAGATGAATCAAAATTCAATATGTACCGGCTTTACTTTGGAAGTTCTTATGAATCAGAACTTGGAAATGGTGGAACTTCTTCTGATTTGGTATCTTATGCAGTTGTCATTTTACATTTCTGAAATACCAAGCTATACTTTCATTTAAGAAAAAAAAAAAACCTATTTGAATCAGTCATTTTCATTCCTTTAGAATTTAAGTTAGAGCCGGCCACAAGAGGGTGTCAAAGTAGGCAGTGATCATAATTGTTCTGATTTCTTCAGGTTTATTTCCTTTCATTAGTAGTTTTTTTTTTTTTTAAGATTTATTTATTCATACAGAACTGGGGTACAGGCCAAAGATGCGGAGGGTGAGAGGATTCACCAGGGACAGAGTGGGGAGCAGCGGGCGGGTCAGGAGAGATCTGCCACGCCTGTGGTCACCTCCGGGGCAGGCAGGTATCGAACTCATGAGGAAGTGGCTTAAGCTTAGTGCAGTGCTTTAACCCACTGCGCCACCAGGGAGGATCCTCATTAGTAGTTTTAAAGTATCTTTAGTAGAAGATCCATTTTATGTTAAATTATATAACCTAAAACAGCTGAAGATAATGAGAATTTTGGTACAACATGAAAAATTCCAGACATGTTATCTATCTGGATAGGACCGATCAAATCCAGTCTGGCTAATAGTATCACTTAATGACAGCACTTAGTCACATAATGCCATCCATTAGTGAAGAACGTTGCAGAGCTGTAACAGGTTCTGGTTTGGTGTAAGCACAGTGGAATTTGTAGCAGTAAGGTTTCAGTTAGGAAAATGCTTAAGTTAAATGTGGGGAATATCATTGTTTACACTTAATTAAAAATCGTATTCAAAATGTATGCCAAATAAAATTAACAGTGGCTCACTGTTGCTTTACTGCTACACATGAAATTTTCATATATTGTTACATTTGTAAATTTTCATTCTGGTTTTAAAAAAATAGCCGATGCACATTTATTCCCTAAAACTAAGAATAAGAATCGTTTGCAGACTACCCCCAGGATGTTAGCTCCAGCTAGATATAAGTGTACCTTTACAGAACTTGAACATTTTAAACTTGCTTAGTTTCAGTTAATTAAAAATGTAAGCTTAAAATTTAAGCAGTGAAACCTTATCTTTGATTAAAAAAAATTATCTCATTTAACTTCCTCTTCCATTCTTCCCTCTCATTATACTTTACTATGCAAGAGCTCACAGTGCCTGTCTACAGCAAACTCCATGACTCAAGATTTTCCTGTAGTTCCTGGGAAAGACCAATTCTTTTCACAACCACCATTGTTCAGGACAGCTTCACAAGACGGTTACCATGAACTTACTCAAGAACAAAGAGATCAACTGAGGGCAGACATCAGTATTATTAAAGGCAGATACCGAAGCCAAAGTGGAGTATGACTTTTTTCTCATTATAATTGGAGAAACTCATTTTTCCTATTCGAGATGTATTTCTTTGATTTGCAAAAGACCTATATTTATAAGAAAAGACCTATATTTATAAGAAAGACTGAACACTTTGATCAGTTATGCTTTAAAACAGTTGCATTACAAACAACAAAACTGTTGAAGAAAGGAATGTCTAGTATAATCTGGAAAAAAAAGCAACCAAAAACTACTTTGTTCCTTTTTTTTCCATGTCCCTAATTTTTTTGTCTTTTTTTCCCCCCATTTAAGGAGGATGACTCCTTTAATCAACCAGGACCAACCAAAAACAGTCTGGCTATTAGTCAGTCTCACTTAATGACAGCACTCAGTCACACAAGGCCATCCATTAGTGAAGATGACTGGAAGAATTTTGCAGAGCTGTAAGTAACAGGTTCGGATTTGGAAATAGAGATATTATAGGTGACAGTTACTCATGTAAATTTTGTTCTTCTGTGTCCTTAGACTATGGGCCAGTCTAGGTAATTGATTCAACTTAATTTGAGAGTTGTTTATTCTATAGCTCTTACTTTTGCAGTTATTTTGGAGTGTGTATATTGTTGTCTTGTATGTAGTGAGGAGTGAAAACATGTTCTTTTTAGGTTCCTTGGCTAGTCTGATAATTACTGACATAAGACAAGTTAATAGGAGAAAAATAAATTTCTTATTAATTGGACCCCATAAAACGATGAGATACAAAGGCAGTTAGGTATTTGGGAGTATTGAGCATACTCAGCCTAGGGAGGGAGGTGAGAGGGACAGGGCGTTGATAGCCAGTATTTGCAGTCTTAAAGTCCAAGTGAAAAGCTATCTTTGGTAAATAGACCCTCTACCTAAATACTCCTATTCATTTAATGTGGTGTAGCACTTTGATTTACAGAAGTTGACTCTTCATGCATCCCTATATTCAATCACATTTGATGATGCTGATGTCTGTTCCTTTGGATGTTTTCATTATTATAACAATATATTACCATTTTGATAATTTTTTACATCTTTATTCAGAAATGTTGGCTTTTGGGGGCATTGTCCTTGTTTGATTTTAGTATCAATGTGACATTGGTCTTGAATTCTCTGCTTATTAATATTTTGGAGAAGTGTGAGGAAGATCATTAATAAATCTTGAATGTTTGATAGAATTCACCAGTCAAAGTATCTGGACTTGCAGTTGTCTCCTTTGAAATGAGTACTTCAGTGTTATGATTCAGACTTAAAAAGTTGTATGATCCTAAGACTTAATCCATTTTATTGAAGGTTGTTCAATTTTTTGGCATATAGCTATTTGCATTAGTTCTTTGATTCATTTTTTAAAAAGCTGCTTTGCTGAGCAATCTTTTCAGCCGCCTTTTTTTAGTCTTATTTTCACTTATTTTTTCTTCTACTGACTTTGTGTTTCACTTAAGATTAAGAATTTCCTTGTACTATGTTATTCACTTTGCTCTTATACTATGTTTGTTGTATTATACTATGTTTGTTGTATTAGTCTTTTTTGGTCATTGACTCAGTAATTCAGTAGCTGTTTAATCTCCACCTACTTGAAATTATTAAATGAAAATTGGAAAATTCACAAGTATGAAACCATTTTTTTGGGTAAAGATACTTGCTATGATTTCAGTCTTTAGCTTATCGAGACAAGTTTGGGACCTCACCATATAGAGCCTTAAATGTTCTGTGGAGAGGAATGTCTTCTGTGTTTTGGGTGAAATATACTCAAATATACATCTGACCTAGTGTATGTCATTGAGGGCCAGGAAAAATGGGCACCTACGTCAAGGTGAGCAGAAGAGTTGCATCCTGCCAGTGTGCAGATTGTACCGATCGTTGTTCGTTGGTGGATTCCATTCATTCCTTTGTGGAACTGTAACCTACTGCTGAGTTACTTGAGGTGTGACTAGGTTGATTTGTACTGATCCGGAACTTTCTAATGGCTCACATCCTCACTCCTCAGATGCGCCTCCTGATACTTTGTATCACTTTTATTACTGCAGTCTGGGCCTATGGATTTTCATTTTTATAGCTGGTTGAACAATTATGTTAATGATTTTTACTGCCACCTCCACTTGCTGGTGTTGTGAGGACTCCATCCTAGATTTTTTGCTAGAAATTGGTCATCATGAAGCCTAGTTACAGTATAATCCACTCCATTTAACCAGCCTGCTGCCAAGTTAATATTACAGAAAGAGAAGTCATTTTTTGTAAATAACTTTTTTCCCTTCTGAAAGTTGCTTCCCTTGTTTTCACTTAGTAGAAATTAGGATTTAAAGGTTAACTGAGCTGTTACATCAGCAAATTTATACTTTCCGGAATTACTAGAGCATCTATTTTATAACTTCAAGTTTTCAATATAGCATGATTACTAACACACAAACCAGCTTTTAATTTGTAATAAGCCAAAAGTAGATAAATCTACGGTCATAAATGTTTCAGTATTTAACTTAATTTGGAAAATTATGTCAGTGGACATAATTATTGTTGAAAATTTCATGACATTAAAACTAGCCATTATGCAAGTAGCTCTTAACTATCTCTAGTTTTGATAGGTTAAGGAGAAACACTTACCAAATTAAATATTTCTAAACTAAAGCTTTTTTGGCAATAGCTGAAGGTAAAAAAAAAAATACTACATATACACAGATCATTTTAAAATTTTAGTAGTGGGAACAGGCATAGCACAAAACTCACTAGTTTATAAGTGTTACAGGGCAGGATGAAGGATACCCTGTGACCCCCAACCTGGCTGCTTTAATAGGGTTCAGCTTTCCACTGCTTAAGACCTTCAATAAAAATATCTTTAATACAATTAGTGAACAATAAAGAGAAAATATTTGCAAATCTGGCATCCAAAGTTACCTGTCCTCTTGTTGGCAAATGCCCAGCCAAACTGGGTTAGCTCAAAGCAGTGCCACTGAAGCCCCCAAAACTTGGCATATGTCTGAGGGGCCTTTTGGTGGGGACCCACATGAAAGGGGGAGAAGAGGTTAGGCAAGTCTGGGGAAAAGAGCAAAATGTAAGTCAAGGTAAAGGCTGCTGCTATTGTCAACCTCCCCATGAGCCTCTCACCCGCAGCTGCGTCTTTCCAGTGTCTGTCAAGTCCCCCATACAGGGGCAAGGCTGAGAAGCACACACAGCATCTTCACAGGTCTCTGCTCCCTAGGCCTCCGCTGTCTTCTTCCAGTCTCTTCTCTAGCTGCTCCTCTCCACTCTTCCTGGGGTGGGGTGGGAAACCTGTATACCCCCTTTTTCTGGATATCACATTGTTACCATAGTAAACTTGAATTCAGAATGTGTCTCTGGCAGAAAGAAAAGGTTATGGTTATTAAATGGCCAAAAGCATGTTACTAATATTTATGGAGACTATGTACTAGATTTTAGGCAAGGACTTAAAGTGTAATCTTAGGTGATACTGGGCAGTGTTTTAATTCCTTAGGTATTTACACTTTTCTATTATAAGAAAGCTAGGATAATTGTTATTTAAGTTTCTGAAAGGTTTTGAACAATTCTGATACCAGGTTTGGGGGTTGTTTAAAGTAAGATACTTATTGTTTCTAGGCCCAGTTGTTTTTAATCCTAAAGAGTTGGGTTATAGTCTTCATAGCAAGGGGCTGACTTGCCCACCTACATGAGGGTTTCTAACAAAGAATTTTGTTCCCCTTCTACTGTAGTATACTAGAATATGTACTTATAGGAAAATCCCCAAACAAATTTTCCTTAAAACCATCACCTCCTGAAGTGCATTTCTACACTTACATGTTGTTGAGCAGGGCCCTCAGGTTTCCTCTGAGGAAGTTTCAGGCAGCACACTGTAAGTTTGCCTGGGAGGAGAAGGCCTTTGCCCAGCCCAGGCAGGCAGAGGTTGCATTTAAAGGGCAGGTTTATTAGGAAGAGGAGAAAGAAAAATGGCCACAGGTCGAAGCGCAGCACCGCCAATGCAGCGGCTGTGTCCTCTGGTGTTCTTTTTGTGAGGGCCTCAGTAGTCGTGGATCAACTTGTTAAATTAGTTACTGCTGGGGTGTGACCGGGGCGATACCTAAGGACAGAGACTGTCCTAGCCCAGCCTGTGTCGCTTCCTACAGCGGTCAGAGGCCTAAAGAGTCTCATTTCAGTAGTTTGCTTAACGACTGCATTGATCATGTCTGCCCCAGTCTCTGGTCTTGTCATGCCTCCATCCTAATATTTCTACTCTTAGCTTCATTCACATTCTCCCCCACCATATTTAGCCTAGAATCTTTTGGAGGAGGTGATGGGAGAAGGTCTGCTACCTGAAGTTGCTTCATGCTCGAGCAGGATGTATTTAGCTGGCCCTACCTAAGGGGCTGGGGAGAAGGCATCCCCAGTGGTAGCCTCTGAACTGACTAGTGCTGCTGGTTCTGGAAGGATATTCCTGTGGAGGAGTTGAAACTTGAAGGCTCCTGGGAGAAGAGAGACAAATTTGACAATGAGCTTGAGCATGTAAGCGCCAAGGGTAGAGAGAAATATGGCCTCTCCTAGGGCCCAGCCTCTGCTGTATCCATGCCCTTCCTCTTGCCCACTTTGCTGGGAGAGAGACTTCCTTAGGTAGTAATAAACATATAACTTTTAGGAGGAATGTTATGATAGAAATTTTCAAGGGAACTATTGACAGAGGAAGGGCAATGAGTAAAGATTAAAGATAGATAAAACATGGATTGCCACACCAGTTCTTCTGAGTGTGATGCATCCAAGGCTTCAATCTTCCGATTCTGAAGCAGAGTGAGTTTGGGAAGGACAGTGTGGGATCCTTCCCAGACATCTGTGGATGCTGTAGCCTGAAGAGGCTCAGAAATTGTTATTTAAGAAGTTACTGAAGCATAATTTCTCTCCCCATTCTCACTTCAGTTTTACCTGACGGGAGGATTCATTCAAGTTTAGTTGTAGTAAACATGGTCAGGTTTTTTTGCTTAGGCTCACAAAACAAACTTATTACATGCTTTTAACATGTAAGAATCTTGTATTGTGCCTTTTAGTGGTTGCCTCTCAGGGCAGAGACCACACCAGGGTTTCATGCCTATAAATACCTGTGTCTGGTAAGTTCCTTTCCTTGTAGTCCCAAACTGTACTGGGTTCTGCATCTCCTGAGGGTGTGATATTCATTACTCTTCCTCATAGACTGAGTTCTCTGAAAGCAAGTCTTCAGGCTTTCTTTCTTCAATGGCTGTGAAATTTGAGGACTCCTGAAAGCATCCTGGTTTCCCAAAGTTTCAAGTCACTTTACTATAGGAGGAGAAGAGTCATATGAGATTCATGTGAATAAACTTGTCCAGGAAGTACTAATACTTCAATAAAAATCTCTCTATATATTTAAACTTATGCATGCATGCAAGAACTGAGGTACAGAAGGGTGAGAGGATTCATCAGAGATAGAGTGGGGAGGAGAAGAGGTGGATTGAAATACACTGTGGAGGGGAGCAGCGGTAGGTCAGGAGAGGCCTGCTATGCTATATGGGTCACCTCTCTGGCTGCAGACCGTGCCCCTGCTGCAGGATCTGCAGATAGCTTCATAGTGCTAAGACTTTAACCCACTGTACCACCAAGGAGACCCAAGCAAATGGTTCAGTTTACACATAAAAAGATGCCATTTGCTGTTGCTACAGATCATAGCATAGTTCAAAAATATTAAAATTGATTTAAAAAACGTTAGGGCCTCCCTGGTGGCACAAAGGATTAAGTCATAGCATTGTGAAGCTATACACAACCACTGCAGCAAGAGTTTGATCCCCGGCCAGGGAGGTGATCAATGGTCCCCTCAGGCAGATTGACTAAATACACTGCTATTCTGCTCTGGTGAATCCTCTCTCCCACCCACTTCTGCACTTCTGGCCTATACTCCAGTTCTTATCTACATAAATAAATGAAAAATTTAAGAGTCATGCTGGCCCTTCCCAGTCCCAAGAAGTAAGTCTTCATCTCCTGTTAGCAGTTTTAGGAATCTAGTTTTTCACTACACTCTACTATTTTCAGAGTAGTGTTAGAATAATTAACAAAAAGGAAGTGATTATAAGGTTTAGTAGTAACTCCTGTAAGCAGCAAAAGACTTAGATGTTAACATGGTTTTAAAATTTGAATATAAACAAACAAGAATATTTAATTGTGTGACTCATGCATATTTTATATTGTCAGGGTTTTTCAATATTGTACCAGAATTTATTAGGCTTCAAGAAATCTCATTCCATAGAACATTATCAGTTTACATATGTTAAAAATGGTTACACCTTTTCATCTTCATGATAATGCTTCCCAAACAGTCTTTGATATACCCAAATTGTCCCAATTTTTTTTTCTAGAAGGAAAACAATTTTTAGATATCTAGTAAAAACCTGTACAAGTTTGTTAGCTTGTCATAATTAAAGTGACAAAGATTTTAAAAACAGATTTGTCAAGTCTCAGTGGTGGTGCTATGGTTTAGTCTTTTTGTTTGTTTGTTTTCCCAGTTAACTGAAGTTGAGGAGGAAAGAGCACCAAGATATATAGATTACTTAAACAGACTACAGTCCTTTATGCAGATGCAAACTTAAAGCTTGATTTTACTAAGTATAGGGATAATAAAGCTTTCTTATAGCACATTCTGGGTAAAATGATCTTAGAAATAAAGTAAAACCTTAGTTTGTGTAATAGTTGGGTAACTAATTAGTGAAAGACTTAACCAACTCTACCTTTAGTTTGTCCTAGAGATGGAATTTCCAATTTAATGCTGAAGATAAAGTATTAGATTAAGATTTTTCTTGTACTTATGTTCTTAATTCTAGAGCTAAAACAAGGGGTAAGGAGGGTGGGGAGAGGTCAGCCATTTACTAGGGAAAACAAAGTTTTTTTTCTTTTCCAGTAGATTAATTTTCTTGGGAAAGACTTAAAGATAGAAGTTTAGATATGAGAATCAAAAAGCAAATTTATTTTAGTTGACAAAGGACAGATCAATGCTTTTATTTAAACACCTCTAGACACAGACAGTGTAACAGGGTGGTCCCCAGAGAAAGTTGAGGTTCTGGGGTACCTCTAACCATTAGCTTTTGAACCAGTTTTTGCTTACCAAAAATTCTAGATTGTGATCTCAAATGTTGGTTGCTTTCATTCAAATTTGAATAGGTGCTATTCATAATTCTAATATAACCCTCTGAAGATAAAAATCACTTTTAAAAATTTTAGACATGTGTATGTTATTTACCAATATTAGACATGTGTATGTTATTTACCAATATTTGTGAAGAAACTGAGAAACCTTTAAGTACTTTAATTTGTTCAGGTAAAACATATCTTAAAACTTGCATTTTTAAGAATGACTCTTTGGTTGTAAGGAGTTATACACAGCATATTTTTTAGAGGCTTAGGACCATGTCTTAAATCTAATTTCTGAAATAACTTAGACTTTAGCCTTAAATTTGATATGGCCAGTTAAATCTTAAAAAAAAATACATTGAAGAACTTATTTATTTATACAAAACTGGGGTACAGGCCAGAGGTGCAGAGGCAGTGAGAGGATTCACCAGAGACAGAGCAGCGGGCGGGTCAGGAGAGGTCTGCTGCGCCATGTGGTCACCTCCAGGGCGGGTGGGGATCGAGCTCATGCAGAAGTGGCTTTAGCTTCTTAGTGCTGTGCTTTAACCTGCTGTGCCACCAGGGAGGGCCTCAATGTACTTTTATATCAAGGAGGTTTTCAATAAGATAGAACTAAAATCCGTGTCCAGTTTCAAACAGTACCAGAGCTCTCCAGGGCCCAATTCTACCATTCCAAAGACAAGCAGAAAAATTGATTTCCCAAACAAATACACCATGAGGAACACAATAAAGGCAACAGAATCTTGTTTTGCATTTCATTAACCCTAATTAGAAGTCTAAGGTTTAGAATTTAACTCAAAAAGCCGCCTTAAAAGTTTTTCCAAACAACCTGTAAGCATCCTCTAACTTAAAAGCAGCCTACTAGTTAAGAGCAACATATTTGAGTAGTTTTTACTTTAAACCGAGTCTGAATGTGTCCTAGGAAGACACTGGGGAGGAGGAGGTAGAGGAATTCCTACCCATGGAACAGGCCAGAACAGTATCTCAAGGTGGACAAAAGGGGAAACTCAGCCCCCATAGGGAGACAGTCCCCTAGGCTTGGTGGCCACAGGCCTGGACACATCTGCTCTGCCCTTCTTTCCCCTCCGGGAGAGGGCAGTTGTAAATCAAACCTGTTGTAATCTGAATTCTGCTACTTGGGGGACAGGATTTCTGAGAGGAATTGTTTTCATCTTGAATTTAAAGACTTGGGTCCACTTAATCAACCAAGGAGAAAGTCTGGTCCCCCTAGCAAGGGAGGCAGCTATGGAAGTATTGGTGGCACAGAAAGGCACTCAAAAGACAGGGATAGACAGGGAGGATCCTTGTGGCCTTAGTTGTAGGAAAGTCTGGGTGAGCTGCTGCCCTGACCTGAAAGTCCCCAGCCAGGGGGTTTGTTCTCAGTAGCAAAGGGAAAAGAGAAGGCACTATAGAAAAGGCAGAGAAGGAAGACCGTCCACTACACAGGGGAGAGAGACAGGTGCTGGCCTAAAGTCGAACTGGAAAGCTGAGACTGGGGCCCGTGGAGTGCTCAGGACCATACCTGCAGTTTGCACCCTTTCTCTTCGGGCCACCTGAACAGCTCTGCCCACCTGAGCGTCTTCGAAGGGCTAGAGAATCTTAAAACTGGAGCCAGCCCTCTTCCCAATAAAGGGAATGGCAGCTCTTGCTGAGAGGTGGAAGACACTAGAGAGCAATTGTGGAGCCACTACCACCAGGTTTGATTTACAACTGCCCTCTCCCGGAGGGGAGAGAAGGGCAGAACAGATGTGTCCAGGCCTATGGCCACCAAGCCTAGACCCCCTTCTCCCTATGGGGGCTGAGTTTCCCCTTTTGTCCACCTTGAGATACTGTTCCGGTCTGTTCCATGGGTAGGAGTTCCCCTACCTCCTCCCCAGTGTTTTCCTAGTCACCTTTCAGCCTGGGGAGCTGCAAGGCTGATGCCTCATGTGCTTCAGGGGCCACCAAGAAGTAGCTTGGACCATCAGTTCAGCGAGCCAGTCACCAAACACCAAGCCCTTTCTAGGGAGAGGGAGACAGTGATAGCCACTGTACTTCCCTGAGGTGAAGAGGAGACAGAGAATCTTACCAGTGCTGTGAAGACCCCGCGACAGTTGCCAGATGATCCCAATTTAATGAGATGTTAGGTTTGGTGAGCAGGGCCCTCGGGATTCCTCTGAGGAAGTTTCAGGCAGCACACTGTAAGTTTGCCTGGGAGGAGAAGGCCTTTGCCCAGCCCAGGCAGGCAGAGGTTGCATTTAAAGGGCAGGTTTATTAGGAAGAGGAGAAAGAAAAATGGCCACAGGTCGAAGCGCAGCACCGCCAATGCAGCGGCTGTGTCCTCTGGTGTTCTTTTTGCGAGGGCCTCAGTAGTCGTGGATCGAGTTGTGAAATTAGTTACTGCTGGGGTGTGACCGGGGCGATACCTAAGGACGGAGACTGACCTGGCCCAGCCTGCGTCGCTTCCTACAGCGGTCGGAGGCCTAAAGAGTTTCTCATTTCAGTAGTTGGCTTAACGACTGCGTTGATCATGTCTGCCCCAGTCTCTGGTCTTGTCATGCCTCCATCCTAATATTTCTGCTCTTATGCTTCATTATCATTACTGAAATAGGAACTGTTTTTACATACTTCTACCAGACTCCCTTCCATACAGCTTGAAGATTTTTCACTTTTAAAGATTTATTTGTGCATACAGTACTGGGGTGCAGGCCAGAGGTGAGAGGCTTCACCAGAGACAGAGTGGGGAACAGAATAGGCAGGTGGTCAAAGAACACTGCTGAGGGGAGCAGTGGGGGGTGGTCAGGAGAGGTCTGCCACGCCAAGTGGGTCAGCTTTGGAGGGGGGCGTTGAACTAGCACAGAAGCTGCTGCAGTGCTGTGCCTTAATCTGTGGTACCACTTTCACATTTTAAATGTTACTACATTGTTTTCAATATGATAGCTATGCCACAACTTAAATGTCTAAAAATTTAATGTTACTTCCTGTGTCCAAAATTGCTGCCTCAAATTACTTGCCTTTTTTTAAAGTCTTTTCAAATTACTTGTCAAATTGTATAGTGCTTTATAGCAACAATGTAAGAGAGCCAGTTTTAGGGCCCCTCACTTACATGGAATGTTACAATTATTTAAAACTATTAAGTTTTTTATATTCACCTACATATGTAAAGAAAAAAGGCAAACATCCATTGCCTTTTGTTTATAATTTTAGCATTTACTTTTATTACAATTATCTTTTTTTTTTTTTTTTAAAGGTATGAAAGCTTTCAGAATCCAAAGAAGAGAAAAGCTCAGAGTGTGACAATGCTTCGGCCTGGACAGAAAGTAACATTAGCATAAAATTACTTCTGTTCTTTTTTTCGTGGATTGTCTTCGGTGACTATGGATTTTCCTTTTAACCAATTAAGTTAAAGTCAGATTGGTAAACTTGTGGTTATTATAATAATCAATTACATATTTATAACAAATTCTGTATTTCCTATAATTATGTAAAGTCTATAATGAAATATTGGCCAAATGGTGTAAATTATTTTCTCTGAAGAAAAGATAAAGAATGTAGAACTCATTCAGTTGTTTATTAAATGTCTTTCTTGCATTTGATAGATTTCATGCTTAGTAACATCTTGTTCTAGAAATAGTTTCTTTTAATTTACTGATTCAATTTTCTTTTTATCAAGAAATGTAGACTTTACACAGTGTTAATTATTCCCCCAACTAGAAGTGAGATCACACCTTCTCTGCTAGCTCCAAAGCCAGGAGGATCTGGAATGTTCACTCCTCCTCTAATGTCAAGTTAGCCACCATCAACATGATAAAACTCCATGAACTATGCAAATAAGTACATGAGGCAGTGAAGAAAAATGTGTGGGCAGCACTCCTTGTCCTTTGAGCAGCTAGCCATGAGGCCAGGCTCCCATTCCATGCCTTAGTTCATGCCCACTGACCTCACCTAATACCTCAGCGGCCCAGAGTCCTGTGCTAGGTGGGGTTGTCCAAACCACCTGAGCCACTGATGCCCTGCCTCGCTGTGAAGACAGACGTCTCCCAGTAAATTTTATCTGTCAAGAAGCCTTAAGGTTCCTTCTTTACTTCCTGAAGCCCCCATTGCATAACAATATTCCTTTACTAGAGTCAGTCCACTCGGCCTCATTCAGCCAACACATAACCCTTTGTTTCCAAAAATGTTGGAATCACTGTTCCCTGGGTAGAAGTATTCCTCTTTGGCAACCTCTAAATCAGCAAATCCAGAATCAAAGGGGATGTGAGCACAGGTTCTGTGGGTCACAACAAAGTGATTGGTGGTCACTCAGTGTTTACATGAAAGTGCCGCCCCTCAATCTCACTCCAACCTTACAAAGTCATCTCCCCCAAAAGATCGGCTGGTTCAGGGTGAAGGTGTTAATAGATCCCATAGGTAGCCCTCTGCCTTGGTCTTGCTGTTAAGCAAGTTTTGTGCTCAGAAGCACCATCACAAGACAAGCACGGCAGCACAGCAGCGGGCATGTCTATGAACCATGTTCGCAGAAGTTTGAGGCACAGAGCAAATGCAGTTCCACCGTGTCCCCACCAGAGGAGAAATTGCTGGCTCCTCTGATAAGGACAAACGTAATCCACCTGCCACTGGTCTCCCTGGGTGCGCACCTACATGGATGGTCACCGCTACTGCCAAATAGGCAGAGAGGGTGGAGAACAGTCCGCCCGGATTGGGGAGCCCACTGCAGAGCTCGCATGTAAGCCCCTCCCCATCTCTGCCACAGTGGCGACTCTGTACCTGAATATTAGACAAGTACAAGCTGACCTGAGAAGGCAGAAGGCACTGCCAGCCAGAGAAAGCTCAACTACAGCACCTGATTATGACAGCACTGAGGGCTTTGGGCTGAACACTCACACAAACATGGCTTTCTCACTGTGAGCCCGTTGCAAGAACGCCAGCCAGACCTTTTCCCCAGACTTGCTCCTGGTCAATGTTCTTTCCAAATCCCTGGCCTTCTGATTACTAGCCACAGTCCATGAATCAAAGGCTTTGATGTCAGAAGTCTCTATTTCCTAACAAAATGGAAGAGACATGTTGTTCAAAGTATCTGGTCTCTTAGAGGGTTCTAGCAGCCTGGTCCCCAGCCTCCGAGTGCAGCAGTACTGCAGGGAAGGGCACAGTGGTGTGTAGGGTCTGTGGGAATGAAAGGGCAAACCCAGAATTGCTCATATTCCCCAGAACAGTTGTTTCTCAGGACACCTGGAAAAGGATTTGGTGTCCTTCGGGGAATTTTTGAGGAAGGAAACTCCATACAAGTCTTGTGACATTATTTCAGGGCCTGTTAGACATCTGGTTTCTCCTTCATTATCTGATTTAAGGATGCAGGTTCACATCTTTTTAAATGAGAAATGACTGCCAGAACCCTAAAGCTTTTAGACACATCACTATAAAGGTAGCCTAGAGTAGAAGTGAAAATTTTTAAATTATAAGAATCAAGTGGTGTTTTAGACTATTTTGGTCTTAAGATTCCACAGGTAGGCAGTACCAAAGACCTTTGCAGGTCAAATTATACTTAACACACTAGCTTTGCTCCTATATGGTAGTCACATCCATCTGGTCTCACGTCACAGCCTCCTGCCCCTTGATAACCCAGAATGCATTGCAGTCGGACTACTGAGTTCACAGGTGAGAGCTGCTACATCTCTTAATAGAATTCCCAACCAATTTGTTGCAGCTTCCATAGAATGATGAAATGTTTGTCCCAACACCTTCTCCTTGGACTTGCTCCCTGGAAAGAGAATTGCTGAATGCCTATGCACCCTATTTCTAGAAAATGAGTGTATGTAGGCAGAAGTCCACAGGAGCATTTGGCCTGGTATGAGGGTTCAGTGTCTGGAAATGCAGCAACCTTGTTGCAGACATAAAGGTGAAAAATCACAGGCAACAAATGAAACTAGGACGAGTCTGGATCCCTGAGGAGACTGGATGCCAGTCAGGGATGTCCTATTCCTGTAGTTTTTAATGCCAGAAACAGATACAATCTGTTTTCTCTTGAGTAGAATTTCTATTACTGTCAAAGCCAATCCTAGAGCCTCTCTAGTGGCCTAGGGGTTTAATTCTCAGCACTATGAACCCTGCAGGATGAGTCTAATCCCCAGCCAGGGAACATATGGTGCAGCAGACTGCTCCTGTCTCACCTACTGTTCCCCTCAACAGTGTACTTCAGTAGATCTGCCTGCTCTGCTCCCCACTCTGTCTCTGCTGAATCCTCTCACCCTCACATCTCTGGCTTATGACCCAGTTAGTCTGCAAAATAAAGTTTAAAAAAAAAATCTTGGGCCCTCCCTGGTGGCGCAGCAGGTTAAAGCACAGCACAAAGAAGCTTAAGCCACTTCTGCATGAGTTCGATCCCCACCTGCCCCGGAGGAGATCCACATGGCGCAGCAGACCTCTCCTGACCCACCCGCTGCTCCCCTCAGCAGTGTACTTCGTCCATCTGCCTGTTCTGCTCCCTGCTCTGTCTCTGGTGAATCCTCTCACCCTCTGCATCTCTGGCTTGTACCCCAGTTCTGTACGAATAAATAAATAAATCTTTTTTTAAAAATCTTAACAAAATGCAGCATGCATTTCTTAAGGCCTTAGGTGTTTTCTCACACCTCCACTATTTTGGGGGACAGAATTGGAATGCTGGCAAGTTGAATAATATATGATTCAATATAACTATCTCACAAAGTATGGATTTTTTATTTATACTATATTAAGATATCTCAGACATCTTTATTTCAGAGTCACTGAATCTAGTTTACTACTACCCAAATACAATCACCTAGAATACTTCGATTCTGAATAATTAACACTAAGTCAAAAAGCTAGGTACATTAATAAAAAGAAATTAAGTTCTTCAACATATTCAAACTGACCAATAATTGTTCTTCCCTGCTTAGCCTAGCTCCCATACACATACTCTATCCTACACACATTCTTCAAAACTGCTTTAAAAAGCAAAATATTGCAGTTCTTTTTGGTTTCACTTTTTATTTACTCCCTAGTGCTTATTGGGGTGGGAGGGGTGAAATGCAAGAATAAGCTTCCTTTGAAAGATTGATTCTTCCCAAAGTGTGGCATTTAAAGGTCTTTCGGGGAAAGATTTATTTATTTATGCATATAAGAGCTGGTACAGGCCAGAGGTGGTGGGGAGGGGGTGAGAGGACTCAGAGACAGAGCAGGTAGCAGAACAGGCGGATTGGCCTGAAATACACTGACGAGGGGAGCAGCGGGCGAGGCAGGAGAGGTCTGCTGTGTTGTGTGGGATACCCCCTGGCTGGGGATCAAATTCGTGCCATGACAGCTTCATAGTGATGTGTTTAACCCCTTGCACCACCAGGGAGACCCATTTAAAGGTCTTTAAGCAACACACATTGAGGCAGCTTTCTTGCCCAGCTCTGACGATGAAGGTTTCTTTGCACGAACTATTTCCCTTTGCAAAGCAGCAGGAGCAGCTCTCCTGCCCACTGTATTTGTGCAAGCATCTTTCCTTTTCCTAATGAACCTATCCTTTTAAAATGTAAAAAGTAAACAGAATTAAGGCTACTTCACTATAATGGAATGGGAGAATCAAATCCAGATCCATGTGTCCCCATCTTAATCACCAGTACTCTTCCAACAAATGCCTTCACTTACGTGACAGATCTAACACAGACATAGTGTAACATCCAGTAAACTACAGGATCAAACTGCACCGATTTTCATCTCAGTCACATGGAACCCAAGACAAGGGGTTCTTTCATCACTCACACTAATCCCTGACTTTAAGTCCATACCTTGAGCTGGAAATATAAACAGGAGTTTTTCTTTTTTAAAGCCCTGTAGTGCTATGGTCAACTCATTGGGGATCTTTGTGTGTCATACACTGTAGAGACAGAAGGTGTTGCCATCCTGGAGTGACAGTGTGAGGCAGCCAGTTTGTCACTGCACACCACAGGATTGCCATTCTTAACTTTTAATACTAATTGGCTTTTCTTTTTCTCCAGCCTTTACTAATTTACAAATTTCTCCCTATTTTCTTAAAAGTCTTGCTTATTCTAATGATTGCTGTATCCATCAGTGTGTTTAGTCTTAAGCACTACAAACCAACCCTGGTCTCTTCAGGTAGTGATGGAATGTGTTAAAAGCCTACTGAACTTACAAAGCAAAGAGATGCTCAGAGACTGTTGGGGGGGTCACATAAAGGGGATATGGGAATTGTCTTAAAGGGGCTCCTACTCCAAAACCAGGCCTATGAGAGCCAAGCAATCAACAGCATTACTTAAACAGCACCATTATTCCATTCATACCACTTAAAAATATACCCAGTCAGGGCCCTCCCTGGTGGTGCAAAAGGTTAAAGCACAGCACTAAGAAGCTAACGCCACTTCTGCATGAGTGTGATCCCCGCCTGCCCGAGAGGTGATCCACATGGAGCAGCAGACCTCTCCTGACCCGCCTGCTGCTCCTTCAGTCGGCCTATTCTGCACCCCACTCTGTCTCTGGTGAATCCTCTCACCGCCTCTGCACCTCT